GCCAGTATTATTCAGCTAGAATTCTGCACACCATAGAATATGATAAAATCCCATCTTTATATTTGGTGGAACTTTTCCAATGTTCAGCGGAAATTATACATTTCGATATTTGAAAGCTATACTCTTCATTACATGGGCGATTTCAGGGAATGATTTGACATTATGCCAGAACTATGCCGAAAGTTTGGTGGCGAAGTTACGCGGTATGTGTTCTTTGTTTACCTTTCCTCAAGTGTTTACCTTTTCTGAATATGGAACAACCAGTGACAGCTATTCTTCCTCGATTGTTCTCATTTCTTCCTACTTATGTTTATTTTCAGTTGTTTATGACCATAAATTAAAGATGGAGCAGATCTACAACTCCAAACGGATATCTAACCAAGGAAAGCGCAAAGGTTCCCGTTTTGCTCACAATTTTTCTTTTTTTTCAACAGTTTTTTAAACTGCTTTTTGCTTTTCTATGGCTCCATCGACTTGAGTCTGAACCATGTTGTTTTTTTTTTCACTTTCGATTGAACTTGAACTGAATGGAAGGTATTGCACTATCTTTAAAAGTGTTCACGTACAAGATAACAAGTTTTTTGTGCAATCAAAAGAAAGTGCTCTTTCGTGGTCCAACTTATGTTATTTAGTGGCCGAACACTTATGGCAGCTATGCGAGGAGAATTTAACATCTATCACGGTTAGTGGTTTTAACGTCGTTTTTGTTGAAGCTGTCTGGGCCCTCATTGCTGTTGTTGTTCCCAGGGGACAAATTCATATCAGTCCAGAACAAGTGTTCCGAAGGGCTGCGATATCGGTTGCACTTGGTTGTTCGGGAGGGGAGGGGGTCATGCCTACTATTGCGCTTTTCCAAATATGTACGTAGTTTTTTTCTTGTTATAGGCTGAGCTTGATCAATGCCGCAGTGGTAAACGCGACCAAATCCCTCTCCCAGATTTGTCGGGAACAGTACTACTTCACCGACTTCAAGGTAAAATTTGATGCATTGATTCATCCTCTAGAGAAGTCTTGAAGCAAATAGAATTTGCCTTGCGAAGGCGAAACGTAGAGTCAAAACCACAAAAGAGGCTGTATTATACAAGCCTGAAACTTCACCGGTACGCTCAGCTGTTCTGATTGTGTGAGAGTTAGATTCATTTTTGGAAGCTTCTACACTATGTTTCCCGTAACACTACGTGCCAGAATTGTCAACTCTGTGCCTCTTTTCTGCGGCCTCAGAAAAGCCAATGTCATATGTGCTTTTTATGCTCTTCATGCTATATAATGCCACGTGTGCGAGTAGATCAGTAATTACAACACAACTCGCCGTAGAAAAGAGAGTGTACAGTTTATATTTCGAAGTCTGATCTGAGTGTCTACGAATTTGACGTGGCCATCGCCGCACTTGATAGAAGCGTGTGGATAAGCTGTTTCTAACATACCGCTGGATATCAGCAAAGCATGCTGGAAGCAGCTTATCCGCGCAACTTCTGTCAAGTGCGGCGGCCGCCACGTCAATCCATAGACACGCCCAACAAGACTTCGAGTTTGGACTGTCACTATTGCGCACCATGATTGCTCGCAATGCGATTGCGTAAGTATAACGCCGGGACAAACTCCGGAAAACCAAACTGAATGGACTGGTTTATTAGGGCTTCGGATACTCAAGTGGCCATCGAACTGCTGAACTTAAGGGTATACTGATGCATATTCTTCAGCCTGATGTATTCTCAAAAGTAAAAATCGAATATGGCTACATAATTTGCCGCGATTAATGAGTGCTGACATTATTTTTCCGTCCGGCATATCGTTTATCTGAGAAATCTAAGAGACTTCAAGTTATACAGTATATATGCAAGGCCTTTCATGTGAAAAAAAGACATTACGCGGAAAAACGTACAGTAGTGGCCAGAAATTTATGAACAAACGGTTTTTTCATGATTTCTCTTTTGAAAGTCACTGGAGCGTCTCCAAATTTGCAACAATTATTAACTACGTGTTTTATGATCCACACAGAAAGTTTCAACCTTCAGCTCAAATTCGGATTTAGAAAAAGTTTTCCGATTTTCGATAAATTAATGAAGCAGGTGAAGATACCTTGTCTTTTATATCGTTATAATCCCCAGCATAACAATCAATTTAAAAGTCACTAAACCATTAACCAAGTCTAGCACCATTGGCCAGATCCCTCCTCTTACATAAGACTGGGTTAAGTTGTGTCTTATAATTATGCTCAGCCGCCCGTAGTGGCGAGTCTCTCTCCTAGTAGGCGCTTATTTTCGTGACATCTTTCATTGACATACCACAATTTGTTAGGCCATCTCTCCTGTGTTCTGATGCTGGTTACTGTCCTTGTCGAATCATCCCATGCTGTCGATAATCACTCCTACATTGAGAGCCGGCCATACTTATGAACAATTACGGCTGCTCTGCCGACAGGCAAAGTCAGTCGGGCGGCAGCCACGCCTACGGATACATGACACCTTCCAAAACATGACAGCAAACGTCTGCCTTCATCGCTACCTCAGTCGTGTAGCGTGGTCCCACTTTTTTCCAAGGCAACCTTATCAAGCCTCCGCCAAGTTTCACAATTGGCAGCTGATTCTTTGGATCAAAACGTTCCCTCTCGTGGTGCCGTACATTACTAGTATCCTTGCTGTCATGCATCAGTAATATGTTTTTGTCATTCCAGATGACCTTAGAAACCTGTATCAACCTTCGTTTCAGGCTTAGTCAATCACATTCTACTCCCACCCACTTCACAGCGAGCGCTCTTCTTAGACTTGAGAACTAAGGAATACGTAGTATAGACTTAGATTCTAGAAAGATGTTATGTATCCGTAGACATGGCTGCCACACGACCTGGCTTTGTCTGTCAGCAGAGCAGCGACTCAAAGCATCGGGCCTCTCACATGCAGGAGTGGTTTCGACAGCATGGGGTGCTTTTAAAAGACCAGCCAGGCCAGACTCTTGAGCCAAACATTACAGAACCACTAGGGGAGGACCTACAAATTCGTATGTCAATGAAAGAGCCACGAAAGGACGGGACTACAGAGAGAGACTCGCACTAGGGGGCGAGTTCATTAAATGACCCACAACTTAAACCCAGTTTATGCATCCAAGAGTTTAGAGATTTCTGGGCAATGTGCTAGACTTGCTTAATGTGAGTGAATGCTTACTTGATTGTTCTGCTGGGTTATACATTATTTAAATCATATAATAAAGGATCAAACGTGATTTCTTCTCTGTATCGCCTTAGCCCCCTCAATATAAATCTTACGAAACAGGAAGGGCTTCAATCTATACGTAAACATAAGCACTTTCTTCCGAAAACTTGCAGGACAATTGCAGGACAAACCGGCTCCGAGGTCTTGCAGGCTGAAGCGCTTGATGTATACTTTTCATTCTAGTGTATAGGATCTCATAGAATGAAACAAATCAACCACGGTTGTCATAATAGTGCTCGTTTACAGAAGACTTGGAGTCATGAGACCTGATGAGTCGAATGCGTGACGTCTATTGCCAAAAGAGAATCGGCCAACTTTGAGCAAAGAATATGCAGCAAGACAAATATATATAACAGAGAAGATATAGAGAACTACGGCATATTAGTTATATGCATGATCTATTAGCAGAAAACAATCTATCACAATTGGTATGCTGTCCGACCATCCTAGGGTAGCGTAATAGGGATTAAGTGATTTGATAGCCTTTTTATTTTTGTTTGCTATTTTTAGGAGAAGTGGATAATCTCAGGGCTGTTAATGTTAGCTTAAATGTGAGTCATTTTCCTATTCTATTTTATGGTTTGTTGGTGGAAATGGTTATCGTTCGACGGTATCGCTTGTGATATCGTCAAACGTCCGATTTGATAGTTTTGAACTTGTTCCTTCTTCTGATTTAGAATGTCAATTCCCGATAGAGTCTTTGCGAGAGGGTCAAATTCTACCGATTTTTTTATTCCAGGAAGTCATACTAGAAAAAGAAGAATCAATCCAGGTCTGTCACAAGGAATTGGTAGCTATAAAGGTAAGCACTGTATTTTTATCAGGCTTACACATTTACGCATCGTTTCAGTTTTTTATTTCTCTTTCAGAATTCGCTCTCTTCTTGTCAAGAAATGGTCAAAAAATATGTTGGCGTGAGTGATTCGTTACCTTCTTAAAGAATACAATTATTGCTCTCAAGTTGCGTTACGAAGCAATGAAATTCATTCAAAAAAAAACACAGAGAATAAAATGAAGAAAGCTTCCTGCTTCGAAGTTGGGTGGCAATGGTTCCGCTTCAAAGTTGACCGGGGTGCCGTAACAAAGGCAGGAATGAGAAATAAGTAAAACCAGCTGTCGAGGGAGACAATGAGCACGTTCATATTTCTCCATCTTGCTCGAACAATGACATCGGTTCGAATCATACGGCTCCATTATACGTGTATAGAGAGGTAGTGTCTTGATCTGAGAATGAGTTTATCGTTGGCAATGACCATGGAGCGGTGCTGCCGTAGCCAGGCATCAGTGCGGCCATCGTTGAAGGACCAGCGTTGGCATAGAGGGTCTTAAGCAAGTAATTGGCAAAAGCTGGATGATTATTGAAACAAAAACAAATATATCTATCAGCATAAAGTAATTTTGCTTTTTTTCTACAATTTTGTAAGTTAGAAATGGAGAAGACCACTATTCATAAAGTTCCCGTAATACCTCGACTTAAGTTTTGCCACTGCCATTCTTTATCAGCTAGCGATAAGTGATTGGCAGAAGCTTAGTGATCATAACCCAGAAAGGACAACGGTAATCGATCCGTCCTCGGAATGCGCCACGCACTCTACTTGCGCTTAAAATCTTACTGTCATCTGTATGCGCTTTACCCAATACACTCGCGGGGAAAAGCCGATCTACAAATCTTGTGTTCCGTCTCCCAGATATACGAGGTGCCATCAACATTGTACCGCGAGGAGGTGAAGGCTCGGGAGAGTGAGCGAGATACTGTAGGGAACTTGCGGAGCAGCGGCACTTGTCATTTCATCACGTACTTTTGGGGAAGTTAGGTACAAAGTGAATTAGAAACAGATTCATTACTGATGTATACTTGTACCATAATCATTACTGGTTATATTATCTCAACTCAAAATAAATTCTCGTTAGGTTATCCCAAAAGGTTTGCTTTTTGAGAAGCCGTTTTAGTCATTTCTGGTAAAATTTCTGAAGTAAGTAAATGTTTTTTTTTTCAATCTACAGATGTAATTGGTTTTTCTCCTAATTGTATTATATGGCGCGCGCTATGTTCCTGGACGCTGCTTCCCCTCTAGAATTCCTTACGACCATCTTAGGAGTGAATAAGTTTCGTGACAACTCACCGCAATCCAAGTTTTATTGGATGTTCCATTACTCGTTGTGTTTCGACTGTTGATTTCCTGTCACTGTTGTTGATTGTGGTTGATCTGCGACCTGAAGGTTTACTTCCTAAATGCATGGAGGTGTAAAACCGATGTGAAGTTGTCAACTTTGCCAACTTACTGGCGCTAGTATTCCACTTGTTCCGGCTGGAAAGAACGCGCTGTTGTAGGACGGTAAAGGTTGAGCGGCAAGGGAGGGACCAGCCTGGTCGAACGATGTCATACCAACAGCAGATAGGTCGGATGGCATTTGGTAAGGTAAACTCTGAAAGTTTGCATCCTTATTCTTGCTATGCGATATGTCAAAGGCAGAATCTTTATACAAAGCAGTCGATAACGAAGAGGAGTATGGGGGGGGGATTCCGAAAATGATGAAATGTTTGGAAGGGATGTATAAGGCTTTTGCAAGGCGCCGTCTTTGGGATTTGTAATCGTTAGGTGTGTACATGCATTTCTTTGACCATTTTTCTACAAGCGCTAGACGGCATGAGCTTAGCTTCCGTCTGTTTCTGCACAAACTTTCTCACTTTTCGCCCTGAACGAGCCATTGCCCAATGGAGGCCGACTGACAGTTTCCCCGATAACTGGCACCGTGCTAGCGAAAATCATGCTTCGGTTGACTGCCCTAGATGGACAATCTAGAAGATAGGGCTAGCTGAATACGAAATTCTTACCCAATAAAAAAAAAGTGCTCGATTATGACAAAAGTATAGGCATCTAACACTTGTGTTATCATCTCCCGGTTTGAAGCGAGCCACTAACGAAGGTGGCCCCTTCCACGGGGTAAGGTCTTATTAGGTTACTCTCTACGGATGTGCCCTACGCAGCGAAGGCCTTGAGTCCTGTTTCAGTAGAAGCTTAGCCTCCTCTGTAATGGGCTTATTTCACCTTCAGGAACTTTTAGTTTATCGTGTCACTTGCTTGTAGCCAGCTTCGATGGCTTGCAATTTTGCGTTCACAAGGTCGCAGATTCAAAACCCATTCAATTCTTAAACGATCAGCAAGCGAACTGAGAGAGAGTCAAACTTTCACATGAATGCTGTCTCAAACGAAGTGCTAACATCACCCTAGACTAACGCAAGTTGTTTTTCTAAAGAGGAACAAAATTGAAGCCTGCCGAAGGTACAAGAGGGAATTCAGCCAAGTGTACGGAGTGTTTAGAATGGGAAATGTAAAAAATAGAAAAATAAAAGTAAAAAAATAAAGGTAAAATCAAGACAATAGTGTAAGTAGTGTCTGTGTCCCGAGTAGTGTCTGCCAAATTACCTCTTTCTCTTTCTGATGTTCAAGTAGGTTTCCATCCTTATTTTGCCATGAATGGGAACATTACTTGTATGGTTCACTCTGCTCAAGGGGACGGTCGTAATATCTGATTTTTCGCCATAGGAACCACTTTCTGCGCCTAGTGATTGGATAGCTGTCCCGGTGATCACCCCATATGTACATCGCTTAACTGTGATGCACAAATGTGTAGCTTCGTGGGATTTTTTGCACGTTCACGCGAGTAAAAAGCGCTTTTCATGGCACAACCCAGCCGCGTTCTGCAGCAACCAGGTCGAAGCTGAGCTGCGAGGGTTTTGTTGTGAATTTCTTGAACAGGAGAATCGCAGTTGTGGTGAAGAGCGGCATGGAGAAACAAGCTAATAGCGCAAACTTAGCGAACCTTTGCAAAGAGATTTATTGGATCGTATTCATCGTGATGACAGACAGGACATTTCATTTCTGAATTTAGTGATTAATTCTTTGAAGCAGTTGACTTACTCCGCCCATTAGCATCATGTGCATAGGATCCAAAGCCGCCGCGCCATGCATACGCGAAAGTTGCCATTGTCGAAGATACGAGAGTTGATTGTTCTCCACAACTGAGGGAAATCTCGAAGCGTAAGGTGGCGTGCGCTTGATGCGTCTAAACAGGGTCGGTTATAGATCAGAACTCTGTAGAAATGAAAATTCTATGAAGGAAACAACAGGAAGGACAAATTCAGCATTATTTTCGAAGGTCATGAAAACTCCTACCGCTTTCTTTTACGACCTTACTGCCGCACGTTATCTCTTTGTGGGTTCTTAGAAAGACTAATCTTTTTAATAGATTTCGATCGGCTATTCACATTACTTTGATGATCAATTGGCCGCTGCCTTTCTCTGAACTTTTCGTGATCCGTTCACCTACCCCTACGAAGGGTGTAAGGCGGTTCATTATCACTAAACTTATTGAGATTTGCTTAAAGAAAGAAGTGTAGTGCCACACTTATCTTTTTTTTGATGAACTATGCACTCAGGCAGCAGATTGCCACTAAGGCGCTTTTGATGGACATCAAGCTTTCACCACATTCTCATGGTAGACTTGCCAGATTACGGTATGAAGATAGGCAAGATCTCAGTAAAGTTAAGTAAGAAGAAGAAACACGGACACGGCGAGCTCTCCGCCTGATCTAGTAATGATAACAGATTTTTGTTTATCATTTATGAATAGTTTTTTATGTTCATTGCCGTGTCTGGCATGATGGGCGTCTCATGTCCTTAGGAGGGGGGGCAGGATTAAGGGTCGATAGTAGGTGATACTCGGGCTAGCGCCCATGAGAGGACGCCAGGAATGAAGCAAAAGTTGCTAACATCATCCTCTCAGAATTCTTCCTCTCCCTTGACGGCATAGTTCGAATTGTCTGTAAGTGGCTCACTCACTTCAATGTTCCCCCCTAACGACATGAACACCTACAACTGTTATCGATAACGATGCTAAAACATAGGCAAAGAGGGGAGTTGTGCGAAGAATATCACTCTGAGCTCATGGTAAGAAAAAGTAACGTGGGGCCTCGATGGTGCAGTGGGATATGCATATTTGTTCGTAAAGCATAACTGCGAGTTTGGTTCCATTCTCAACCAACATTTTGTCCATAACTCAGGACTGTAGTTATAACACAGTATGTTAGAAGTAGGCTGTCCTAATGGTTGATCTCAAATCGAACGCTCAAAAACACTGCGTAGTTGCAGGTTTTATTGTCAAAAAGCTAGAAGAATCTGAACTATTACAAAGCTTTTTTTAGATTTTTGAGAGTTCCAGTGAATTCTTTCGAGTATTCAAATATACAGATAGTTTAGTGGATGTCCATTTGTGAGCGATTGTTTATCATTATACGCTTAGGCCGCGTTCATAGTTCGCGACTCCGGAGATTAGGATAGTACGCGACAATGAAAAACATATGTATTGACGGGGAGATTAGGATAGTAGTAGATTAGGATAGTAGTAGAGTAGGAGATTGCGCTGACAAGATTAGATACGTATCGATTGAAATCGCTGGAGAGTAGTATTGTATATGTATTGATCTATTCGCTTGAAGTCGCCCAATCTACTACTCTCCAGCGATTTCAATCGATACGTATCCAATCTTGTCAGCGCAATCTCCTACTCTACTACTATCCTAATATCCTGTCGCCTACTATCCTAATCTCCCGAGTCGCGAACTATGAACGCGGCCTTACTTCTCGATGTCTTGCGTCACTCAACCCTCATTTTCGTTTCTTAATCTAGTGAAGTCAAGTATGGGTATTTGGAAGTTGTCGGTATAGTTATGATGGCCTGTGATGCAGATGATTTTCTCAAAAGGATCAAGGGATTTCATATCCTTTCTTCGTAGCTCTTATGGTTTCACAGTAGTATTGAAATCCAGAAGGGTAATCATGGATATTCTTAGACATTACCACTTGCTAAGACTGGCGAATCACTAGATTCGATAAACTCATATTATGAAGATTTCAAAAGTGATGTGAAGTTTTCACAAACCTTCGCTTATAGTTTCCGTTGTCAAACATTGGTGTACAATCGGCAGCCAGCGTCCAGTAGTTGCCCTTACGATCGTTTGCATGGCTCATTCCATCACGTGCCTGTTTAGATGTCTCAATTTACGCACATTATTTTTATTCAGTTATTCATTTCATTTATTTTTACATTTACTTACATGGCCACTTTGCTGGTCTTATCATTTCTCTCTATAGAGCCCAGCCCCTTGGAGGAAGTGGTTTAGTGGAAGATGACCAATTTTTCAATCTTTGAGCGACGAAAATTGTACTCACCAAGTAATACAACAGAAAGCTGCACTTTTTCTCCGAGATTGGAAAGGCTTTCATGAATTCTAATTCCATTATCCTTCGGTAAGAGGTGTTAGGAACTCACTCTTTTCAAGAAGCAGTCGTTGAGCGACAAGTTGTGGCGAATGCTGTTCTGCCATCCCTGGCGACGTTTTGGATCGGCTGATCGGTAGTATGGGAATTTTGCGTCGATAAACTGGAAATAGGAAGAAGTTATAGGTAGAAGATGGGCTACTTCATAAATGATAAATCCGGTGCTATCTTAGTTGGGGGGGGGGGACCACGCGGCGGCGCGGCGCTCTGTTCGTCTCCTCCAAGGCTTAGTCCCGATGGCGCGTATTTCGAAACTGCCACGTGATGGCGAAATAGTAACTGCCCCTGGGCTTTAGAGGAGCAGACGAACAGAGCGCCGCGCCGCCGCGTGGTCCCCCCCCCCAACTAAGGTAGCGTCGTAAGTCCTTTTTAAGCACACTTTCGTTTCTGGCAAGGGGGAAATAAGGGTAAAAAATTCCATGAAGGTTATTTTTAGGAGGACATTTTGCCAAGGCTTTGAGCTGCGGGCAAAGGTGAGATTCTGGAAGGAGAAGGGTATATGTAGGGGTGAGTGTGGGATAGCTGTGTTAATTTATGAGGTGTCGATCCGAACGGGTACGGCCAGATCTGAATCTGAAGAAAATCTTTGGCTAGGTTCGTTGTAAGAAATTCTGAAGAAAAGGAGATAGGAGTATCAGAGCTTAAATTTTTGGATTAACTGGTTGTATTCAAAAGGGGCAAGTAAAGCACTTATTCAGGGTATCAGAAGCAGGCTGGATCCCTTCAGGAAGGGGGGGGGGTGGGAAGGTGATCATCCTTCAGTGATATGAGTATTCTCAACAAAATAGCTCAAAAAATAGAAGAGTCAAAATCGAAGATGAGCGAGCGCGCCGATTGAGTGAGTGATCGTCGACGAAGCGCGGGCGATGTTTTGATGAGGGATACGATAGCGAGACGGCGGCGACGGCAACGCGAATGCCAAGCGGTGTACGGTCGTTTGATTACATCGCGCAAAAAGAGGAGCTTCACGTTGGAAACATGAAAAACCGATTCATTACTATAAAATTTAGAGCATAAATCGTTCCAGGAAAACCATTAATGAAGTAGATTTGATTACGGTTTGCCTCTATGAGGTGTTAGTAAGATTAGTTGGAAAATAATCCATGAAAACTATCTTTGGTAGCTCTATTTTCTTTCCAATATTTAAGCAGAGCTCAGATTCCTTATATGGAATATATGCTAGTTTTTTATGAAGTGTTTAGTGCTTTTTGAAATTTTCGACTGTTTTGAATGAGTGGGTTAGGCTCGCATGGAATTCCAAGCTCAAATGTTTCTGTTAACCAATGAGCGCACTACTGGGTTCGCAATTAGATGGCCGTGAAGTAAATTTTTGGGTTGACGAAATAGCTGTGTCTTTTTGAAGAATTTAATCCAAGTTTATAGGATGTGTTGGAATTTCTGAGCTTTCCGAGAGTGCCACGATCTAATGAAATGCATTAGCTGTTAAAGATTTGCTGGAAACATTTTTTTTGCATTACTTCTTTAATTTCAAAAAAGCTCCAAGATACTTGGAATTCTGCCTTCTGAATGCTTTTTTCTCTATAGCTTATGGCTTTGAAATAATTAAGAAATATCATCATGCTTTACAACATTTTGTAGCGAAGCCAAGTAGGAAAAAAGCGGTTCACGGAAGACCTTCGCGAATGCTTCCGTTAGTCACTGTATGTACGAGATAAAAAAAATATGTCCATAGGTTCTCAGAAGTTGCTATAGTCCCTGCTCAGATTTGAATAGTCTTGATTGGTGTAAAGGTGTAATTGAAGCGTGAGCTCGCTATTATTGGAACAAACTTAGAGTAAATTAGCCTACATGGATGGTGTTTATAACGGTTTTTTTTTTACAAGGCAAATGATTAGCTGATGTTTCGAGAGTACGGATAGTGTTGCAAAATCAGTGTAAAGGCTGGAGAAGTAGGGAATACCTTGTAAATTTGGCTGAGAGTGAGCCGTTTCTCAGGTGAAGCCTCGATGGCCATAGCGATCAGCGCCACATAGCTGTATGGTGGTTTTTCGTTTTCAGTTCCTTCTTCTCTGAAATGTGAGACAATCAGCAGAGGTTATCGTATAATACGAGCTCTGAAAGTAGTGGTTAGTGCGGCTTTCGGAGCCAGGTAAAATTTGAACTGCATGATGTAGCTTGTAGAAAAAAATTTCTTAAAGGTTCGTTACGGGGGATTGGGGGGGGGGGCTGTAGGCAGAGAAGGGAAGCGAAAACATGCAGGTGCAGGAACGAAAGGACTAGGGCTTCTCCACAGATGTTAGAATTCGGCTGAACCAAGCTGTACTTTACCGTTTGAGCGTTTGAGCTTGTGTTCCGGAGCGACGTCGCTCAGTTGAAGTGAATAGTTGAACCACATTAGCAGGTTTGTCCAGAAATGAGCAATCGCGAAAAAGGGGTGGCACAATGCGACTTTCAGCTTTATGATAGTGCTCTTCACCTAATTCCTCTGGCATTCCCAAGGCTTCTTCTGGGGGTTGCTGGCATTTCCCCGATATCGATGCTCTTCATCATGTTTTTTTAGAGGGCGGAAGAGAGCAGATATGCCACAGAAGCGTTCTGAGAGGGTCATCATGAATTGATCGGCAAAAAAAATCTATATTACCTAAATCACAAGTGAACGTGAATGTCCTACTATGACAGAAGTAAAATTGTTGTGACCAACAACTAATTGTAAATGAAGGGTTTTTACCAGCCTAGTTCTCAGAGTACTTTTTTTTTTTTTAACTTTCTCATCTTTGATTAGTTAATTAGAGGGAAGGTGGCGTAGAATTGACTGTTAGGAAGCAATCTCCCCATACTTCGGAGCCTTACCTATCTCGTTCCGAGATCATCTTTTGGGCTTCACAAAACAATTGCTTGGATGCCTCTGTGGGTACTTATGAAAAAGGCAAGGTAGGCACCGAAGCAGTCGTTCGTGCCCTTTTTAAGGTGCTGTACATAAAGTTTTCTATTGAAAAAAAACTGGGAATTTTCCTAACAAAAAAAGACGTTCTGTAAGACCCATAGTTTTGAAATATCCAATATTTTTCTCTAAGGAGTCAAATCTCTAATGGAAAATACGCCACTCCCGATAAGATCTCAGAAAGGTGTCTACTGTAAAGAATGAATCTCAGGTTTAGTTTCAGTAGCCAACATTGCCTTTCAATACTATTCTTCCTCTAAGCTAATTTATTGTCTTGCTGAATGTTAGAAGTCTGTTTTTGTTTCATGGTAAGTGATTATGAACAGATTTTGTGCTGTACTGAAGGGTTAGAGATGAGCGTACGGTGGTATTAGCGTTTTGTTGACCATCCCAGGCAAAATATTTATCCGCTGCACCGGCCATATTGTTCAACATCGCGATATATTTTGAAAGCTCTTGTATATTTTTTCCACAAAAGCGTGTCAGTTGTCGAACGACGTCCTCCGTCAGCGGATTTCTGGAGGGAAAACGCTGGCTGATAAGGGTAGTCGGGAATCTTACCTGACAGGAAAATGCAATCCGTTTGGTGCCGGAGCGGAGCTGGTGGCAGCGGTAGTGGACGGCAATCGTGATGCGCTCATGCTCGCGAATGACGACCGCCGAAGCCTACCGTCTCGACCGTTTGTCGGCGGCCGTCATCTTGCTCATCTCTGCTGTCTCCATGTCTTTCCACGATGTTTCCGGAACATCACAGTTCGCGGCTTCTTCCTTACACCATTGTCTTCGTCGGTTTACAGCCAGTACTGTGATAATTGATATCGATAGCCTTTGAGCTTGATTGTAAGCTTTGAAAACATACCACTCTCTGAATCACCTGACCATTGACAGCTAAAGATCTGATATCCGATTCTATCAATTGCTTTGCGCTGCGACATGAAACCAGTAGACACTAGTGGTATATTTGAACACTTGAACATACAGATTTTGTCATTTCCACAAGAATGGTGAGTAATGCGCAAAATTTCTGGCCTCAGACGGGTTTGGAGTCGCTCTGGTGTTTTCTGGGCTTTTTCGTTATTGTGAGCGCAGAGGTACAGGACTGAGGTCCACCGCAATCCAGTGATTTTGCCCATAACTTATCACCCCTGTGAATATAATTTTTTGTCGTCGATGAGCCTTTCTTCTTCAGTTCCTCGACGAGGAATCTTTGATGTTGACATGCTCAACAAATTTTGGGGGTCTGGGGGGTGGGGAGGCAAAACTATGTAGTTTCTCGCTCGAACATTCCAATTTTTCAGTCGAGTGACACCCCCTCCCCACCCCCGTAGACTGGCTACACTCCCTGGCTCGGAGTTACCCTAGCTTTCTGAGAAAACTGCATCATGGCGCCCTCCTCCCCCTAACTGGAATAGACCCAATTCAGGGTTATCCGTAACCATCACGGCTAGGCCAATTCAGAAGTATCATATTTGAAACTTTTGTGTACATAGTATTGGTCACTATTGCTCAACCCGCAGTAACACCTCTCTGACGAAGTTATTATGACATGTTGAGCAACAGTAACAATTTCATTAGTCGATAGTCACTCTAACGAGGTGACAGTTGGCAGGCTTGCCGTTCTTGTAGTCGAATTAGCCATGGGTTTTCCTCACCCTTTGTTTTTTTTTGCTTTGTCCACAGCTCTTTGTGGGGGGCTGTCGTGGCAGTCGCAAAACCTTGCAACCTTTGAAAACCTACTTGCTGCTCGATTTCGAGCAGCAAGTAGCTTTTCAAAGTGCTCAACGTTTGCCTCTGCACTTATCCTTATTACTAGTAGCAAAGTGCTTGAAACCATGACTGCGGCCTCGAACCCGAACCCGCCTGAGGCCGACATTTTTGCAAATACCTGTTTATTTTGCAAAAAAAATTAAAGAACATCAGTATCAAAAACTCAAATACACCTAAATACAAATACTTTTATGTATTTTAATGTTCTCGTGTAATAATG